CATTTCATTCGTAACTTTTACAAATTAACGTAACTCAATTCAAAAACATATAAATAAATAACCGTCCAATAAGATTAATTCAATGCATACAAATACCAAAAAGTATATGTTAATATTACAGCAACACTACATAAAGTATATTCATTTGCTTCAAATTAAAATGAGCTAATGAGCTTTAAAAATGATTTGGGCTTTAAAATTAAAATTATGAAATAATCTGATTTATTTAATTAATTTGCTAATTTGTTTAAAAAAATAAAATAATTTAATTAATTCAATATAAAAAATAAAAAAATTATTTAGTTTCGGTTTTTATTCGATTCTTCGATTCTTGGTCTAGACTCGAGACCCGACCCAAACCCATCGATTCTCGATTCGGGTACCAGTTCGGGTATTTAATTTATGAAGAATTGCTCGGTTCGGGACTTTTGGACACCCCTACTCCCTAGAATTTATTTCTGTGTTGTTTGGCAATGTACCGGGTATCCTTCCTGTCATAGAGAGAGCTAACTGTCCCATTTGAGTTTCTAGATTCTTAATAGCTGCACCCTGATTCTGGAAGTTTGTTTCAGTCTTTCTCATGAATTGATTTGTGGTTTCCATATATTTATCGATTTTTTCCATGAGCTTCGCAAACATGTCTTCCAACTGAGGTTTCTTCTCTTGCTGAAACTACCCTTACGCCCGATTATGATTCTGATTGTGATTCTGGTTTCCACCCCAAGAGAAGTTCGGATGATTTCTCCATCCTGGATTGTATGTTTCAGAGGAAGGGTTGTTTTGTTGACGTTGACCCCATTAAGCAAAGTCCACATGTTCCATTCTTTGTGTAAGGATATGGCATTCAGTTGTGCCATGTTCTGCTCCACATTCTTCACAAATTGACTTCCTGACTTGTACTGAATACACCGTCTGTGTTATGCTCTCCATTTTGTGAAATAGGGAGTCAATCTTTGCAGACAATGTTGAGTATCTATCTACCTGATACACTCCAACTGCTTTCTTTGTACCCACTCTATCTGAAGACCACATGACTGATGTATTAGCCATTCTCTCGAACAATTCTCAAGCTCCCTCGAGTGACCTTGTACTTAGGGAGCCATTTGATGATGAATCCACCATGCTTCTGAAAGTCGGAGTTAGTCCCATATAGAAGAATCTGATTTATGTTGGCTTATCGAACCCATGTTGAGGACACTTCCTTAGCATGTTCTTGAATCTGTTTCACGCTTCATCAAAGGATTCGGCTTTATTTTGGCTAAATATTAATATGTCATGTCTCAGCCTCGCCACTTTTGCTGGTGAGAAGAATTTGATGCAGAATTTATGAGCCAGGTCATTCCAAGTAGTTATACTTACCATCGGGAGTGAATTGAGTCACTCAAGTGCTGTATCTCGAAGAGTAAGTGGAAACAATCGCAGTCTGATTGCATCTTCTGATATCCCTTGGTATCTGAAATTTTGACACATAACCAAGAAACGGTATACATGTGTATATGGATTCTCGTTGGCCATCCCATAGAATTGGTGTCCATTTTGAAAGACTTGGATATCATTTGTCTTCAGCTGAAAATTTGGCTGTTTGAATGCATTCGACTCGGGCACAAAGGTCGGTGACGTCTCGAGTGCTGTACGCCTTTGATACTCGCTCGGGCATGGAAAAATCGTTTCGAAGGTTGCTGGCGTTCTAGCCTCGCATCGTTCTCGTACAAAGGAAATTTCGATTATGAAGGAGGGAGGAACGGAATGGGAGGGACGAATCGGAACGACAAAGGGCTGAATCTCAGCGAATCATGGCAGCAAGGCCACTCTGCCGCTTACAATACCCCGTTGCGTATTTAAGTCGTCTGCAGATGGATAGACAATGCTAGATTGACTTTGAATGATGAACGGTGACTAAAGATCCCCAAGCAGAGCATTCCCATCATATTGTGCTTCCGCATTGGCTGGAGTTGCAGGTGCTACAATTGGTTCCAATTGTTGATCAGTCATTTGTATTTGTTCTTGGTCATCCTGCTGATAATAGTAGCACTTAGCTCAACTCAAGTAAATAAACTAAATTCAAAATAATAAATAAACTAAAATTAAAAAAAAGTTCGAATTAGTGTCTAAATAAAAAAAAATCAAGTTAATACTTAATCCCCGACAACGACGCCAAAAACTTGTTCACGAAAATATGTTCGCTTTGTAAATCACCTCAAGTGCACGGTTCGTTAACAAGTAATAAAGTGAAAATTGTAAAATTTCGAGTATCGTTCTTACGACGATTGATTTAACTTGATTTCTATTATCGCGACCTTAACCGAATCTATTAAATTCAAGATAGTTGATGATTTGAATTTTATAATTAAACCATGACTAAAATCCAATTTAAACTAAGGTTACTAAATAAATGTAAAATGATCTTGAATGCAAAATGTTGAAGAAATTAATGTATGAAAAAACGTATTAGGATCCCGAATCACCAAACAAAGTTCACTGTTAATCCCCTATTTCACAATTTGACAATACGACGAATTGGTTGAAAAATCAATGTTTCTAACATATCCAACAATCTCTTTCAAGTAGAATTGAACCTATTCTAGCATAAAATTTGACTATATTTCAATGACAAATGCAATATACAAGAATGCATGAAGTTTTGTAAAAACTTAGAAATTTACGTAATGCATATCGGTATATTTCTATCATCTATGAACAAAACGATGATTTGTACCTTATTGAGTTTATTTTCCTTCTTTCGAATACATAAAATAAACCACCAAAACTCACACAATTATCGTGCACTATAATCATGGAGGCAAGAAAGTGTATATAAATCATTCAACACCCATCAAACGTGTTTGATTATCAAATTGCAAAATAAAAATTAAAAGATCACAATGTGAGATTCATCGTTCACCTAGTACATGAAAAGTCTAGCCTAATATAGATAAAATAAAAGAACAATAAAAATAATAAAGAGGAGACATCACCCAAAAACTAAGAAATAGGGTTGAAATCTTGAATCTTGAATGAAATCCCTTGTTCTCGCCATCTTCCTTGCTCTTCAATGGTGTTTTTCTCTCTAAGAATGTGTAGCCCCTCTTTCTGGACGAGATTAGGGTTATAAAGAAGTCCTACATGTATTACCATAAGTGTTTGATTCAAATAATGAAACCAGAAAATTCGAGCCCATAATGAGCCATGCGACTGCGTGGTATAAACCCATACGACAGCATGATTATACAAATTTTTTACTATTCAACTCCTGTAGATGCTTGTGCGACTGCATGGATTTTCTACCATGCGACTGCATGGTAGAAATTATTTTTCTTTTGATTTACTTTGTCCCCAAGTTTGTTTCATCCACATTCTAGCATGCGATTGCATGGTAGATATTATTTTTCCTTTAATTCAGTTTTGTCCCCAAGTTTGTTTCATCCACCTTTAGGCCTTGATTTCTTCTTCTTCATCTTCTTCTTCTAACATCCCATGATATCACAATATGTTATTTAGCTCAACATCATGCTTGATTCGTCATTCGGGTCATCTTTTGAATAATTGTATTTTGGTTCTCGGAGTTTTATATTCTTCCATTTTGGCATTTTTTCGTTCATTTTCTCATACTTTTCATTACATCCATCAATATAATCCTACAAACACAAATTATATCGAATTAAGTCATATTTCAACATATACATCAACGATTTTCCATGTTTTGTGACCTAAATAAGTATGTAAAATACACTTATCACTAACAACTTCAGTGGTACGAAACATTATGTTAAGGAATTATGTAGGATGTAAACATTTCTCCTTTTGAAATACTCTGATGAATATTTGTCCAAAAATGGACTAGTAAACTTATATGATGAAAGAAAATCCACGATTGTTTGGGATAGCTTCTATTTTTTGTGGAATAGTTTCTTGAGGAAGTTCACCACTGATCAAACAAAAAACTTTCAGAAGATTATCCAAACAGACCCAGTTTTAGCTTTTTTTGTTTGTGTAGTAACTTTTGACTTTTCAAAAGCCAAGCCAAACGAGTCTGTAAATTATTTCATGGATTTCCAACACAGAATATATTGATCTTGCCGAAAGGAATGTGCTTCTCAAACATTATCAATTGGCACAAGACTACAAGAAGGTTGCCACATAAATCGCAGTTTGCTAACCCTTGGGACAGTTATTCGTGAATTAAGGTTTGTCGCCTTTTACTTCCTAAATTTTCTACAATATTGTTTTTAACACGATAAGTCAGCAGTTCCACTTAATTACTGCATCTTTAGATAGTTACAAACTTTCCAATTGTCTTTCCAAACAACAATTAACAAATTAAAGAAATGTGAAAAAGGCCTGTTGGAATTTACAACTCAGCAAAACAGATCACACGTGAATCAGCTCTTCAGTTCACATTCAGCAACAACTCCCTTCTCCAGCTCAGCCAGCAAGCAGCACACGTTCCAGCTCCTCTTCCAGATTCTACCTCCTTCTAGTCCCTTCTATAGTTTATTAGTTAGTTAGGAATTTAGTCTATAAATAGAGCTCTTATGCATTGTAATTCTTAAGTTGATTGAATCTAATTTCATCTTCTTCCCTGCTACAGCAGGTTCTATCATTTTCAGATTTTAGTTCATTTCATTTTCGTTTTTCTCTCAATTCAGTTTCATTGTCCTTGCTGGTGTTAATTCATTTACTGCTGGTGCTCTGTTCTTGCTGGTTTTCAGTTTCTCAACAAGGCCTGTCTTCCTTATTTGCATGCTGCTATTTCTGATATTTATATTTCTCACTCTCAATCTTATCATCTTATTTAAATGCAGCAAAGGAAGAAATGGGCACATACCATACAGAGACTCCAAGCTAACCCGCATAGTACAGAACTGTTTGGGAGGCAATGCCAGAACTGCCATCGTTTGTATCATGAGCCCTGCTCATAGTCATGTTGAGAAGTCGAGAAACACACTCTTGTTTTCTAGTTGTGCAAGCAAGTTAATACCAATGCACGTGTTAACATCGTGATGTCGAAGAAAGCATTAGTCAAGCAGTTGCAAAAGGAACTAGCCAGACTGGAGAACGAGTTACGAAATTTAACCTCACTTGCCGCCTCGGGTGATTCTGCATCAGCACTAAAAGAGAAAGAAATGCTCATTGAAAAGGTGAATAAAAAGCATCCCATTTTATAATCCATGATTTTTTTATCAGATGCATATATTCAAATCTGTTGCCAAATTTAGAACACAGTTCGAACAGTAAAAAACTATACAGATCCGGAGAGTGGAAACAATGGGTGTATTTGTGTGTGATTATTAGTACAGAAGTGTTACATAGTCAACTACCACAATCTTTTTAGTTCCCTTTCTCAAATTTTGTAGATGGAAAAAGAGATAAGAGAATTAACTCAACAACGTGACCTGGCTCGGTCTCGCGCTGAGGATCTGATACATACAGGGGAAGCATATCAAATTCCAAGATCATGGGTTTGTATTTTATGAAGACGATTTTTTTAAGATAGAGAGTTCAACATGAAAACTTGTTATACACTTATATTGATGTTCTCATATTTTCCTCTTAGGATGATAACTATGAGAAACGTTCTTGGGCAGATGAATATTCAGCATCTGAAGCATCGGAGATAATTGATACTACCCGTTCTGATGTTGCACATCTCATTTATCTGACAAACGCAAAGGCATTAACTCCAACAAGCGTGAAGAACCATTCTTTGAGAATGCTGAAATGCAATTTTTGTCGGATGACACCTCCCCGAGATTATATATTGATAAATATTTTGGTCCTGATCCATGTAAAGGTTGGGAGAAGATTGCTCAAGAAACTGATGAGAATTTCGAAGATAACTGCAAGGAAGTCCAATGTATTGAACTGCCTTCCACTCCTAATGGAGATCACGATTCAGGTTAGACTAGTTCATGCTGTGATACTTCGAAGCAAAATATTTAGGACTTGAATATGTGTGTTAACTGTATTGTTGAATTTACCATTCAGGACAATCTCCTTGTTCATCCGATGAAAGAAATATCTGATCTCGGATGTGCAATACCAAGGAGCAAAAGCTGTACACAACTTCCACTGCCAATGCAAAAATCACAGAGTTCCGAGTTTACAGAAGAAAATGAAAGCACTTCACCAGATGAATTTGAGAAGGAATCTCCAAAAAGACAGGATGATAATCACGGAAAGCTTTCTAAAATAGAGCCGACTGCCATGATGAAGATCTATGCAGAAAAGACTTGGCGGAGCCAGCCGTTTGAAGTAGGAGTCCCAGAATTGAAGATATAGAGATGAAGGGTGGGCCCCCGAATTTTTTTTTTGATAACTTATTAACAAAAAAAACCAAAAAACATATAAAATAAAGTATCAATATTTAATTTAGCAAAAGAATACCTTATTACAAGTGATCCTTTCAAGTTCTCATACTTGGAAGACGAAAACGAAAAATGAAATCGGTAGAGTTTAAGATTTTTATTCAATTTGAAGACAAAATGGTAATGGTAAATACAAAAAGAACCAAAAAATAAAATTTTAAAATAAATAAAAAAAATTGTCAAAAATTTGGGGGGGGTCCGGGTCCCCCCCAGGACCCCCTAGCTCCGCCAGTGCTACTGACATTATGAATGAAATGGAAGAAAACATCAAGATACTGGTCGAAGATTGTATAGCCAATTGACAAACCTGTAAGACAAGACATGACCCAATGAATTGATCACGCCAAAGTCTCATATGCAGTTTGAGGATAATTTGGTTAGTCTGAGCATGCATACCCCCTTCCTTTGCCATCGTCCATTTTGTTGTTATCACCTAACATAGCTTTTGCAACTGCAACTGCATCTGACTGTAACTTCCTCTTATTAGATCATATTTTGTCTGATTTTAACTTTCATTTTTTCTGGATACTTTACACCATCGCTTAGCATGAGAAGTTCTACTTCCTAAGTTTATCCTCTCTTTATTTGCATCGATATCTTTTTCTGACTTTGATCAAAGCAACTCTTCATCTAACAATTTTGACAACGATTTCTATAGTAATTAGTTGTAAAAGCACTGTGGTGATGTCTTTCTCATGAATAGAAGATTAGTTTCTGGAGGAAAACATCTCCATTTAGTATTTTTATGTGCCCTTATGAGGAATTTTCTATGGCAGGATCTTGAGGCTGAAAAAACTCTGAAGGAACCAGAAAAAACTAAAGATGATGGCTCTAAAAAAGATTAGGATGTACAGAAATCCGCTTCTGATTGGTCTACAGAATTCGCGAGTAGAAGCGAGAGATAATTGAACTTTGGGATGCTTGCTACACCCCATTGGTCCATCGAACTTACTTCTTACCGCTCTTTATAGGAGATCCATCAGATGCTGTTTACATGGAGGTCGAGCTTAGACGGTTGTCATTTCTCAAGAATTCATTATCTAGGAGTCAAGTTTTCGCAGAGTCCTCAAGGTATTCTTTCTCATTCCCAGTGCCCCCAACTTCCCAAATCTAACCCATTCTTTGATTGATTGAAGTATAATTGAAGTTAAATGAGTTTTAGATGAAATCTTTAAGAATAGAGAGAGCATAGGTCACCACAGCTTCATTCTTTGAAGAACATTGTAAGTTGTAACCTTTTTATTCATGAAAACAACTGCATGGCTCTCTATAGGTAGAGAGATATACTGAGCAAACAATTGCTCAAGAAATATTCGACGAAGGAAAGAGAAGCTCTATTCCAAGAATGGGGCATTAGCCTAAAATCAAAGCACAGAAGGCATCAACTATGCCACCGTCTGTGGACAGACGCCAAAGACACGGACCATATTAATGAAAGCGCTGCTATAGTCGCAAAATTAGTAGGGTTCAAGTGCGGAAATCGCGCCCCAAAAGAAATGTTCAGACTTAACTTCTCAATGAATCTCAAATCCTACAGCTGGAGACACAGCCTGCCTTCCATGATATAAAGCTTCCCGAAAGCAGTGAAGTATGAACCAGATACATCGCCCGTGAAGTAAGGTTACAATGGGTGGGAAATTGGTAGGATTCTTATAATTTATACTAGTGTCTTTGGTTGTTCTAAAACCTCTACCTGACTGAGTGGAGCCAAAGGTGTATACAAGCTATCACAATCTAGTAAGTCCATATTTAAGCCACATGAAAATTTTCATTCTCATTCTTCTACTCATTTTCAACCACACATTTTTCAATAAAATAATATTTTCAATCATATCAATAACTTTTTCTTATTTTTCAACCACACAATCTCCGTCAATCTACTATTCCAAAATACATTCTTCCAAAATAATGTGGCTCAAAACACACTTTTTCCATTGCTGCATCATAATCCTTAGCCAATATAGTGTGATCGATTCAAAGCTCTAGTTCTGTAGTGGACTGAAAAATATAAAAATGAAATGGAAAACAGGAAATTTAATATGTTGTGATTAATGCATGCATCAAAATATCATGAAACTTTAAATTAGACACGACCATTTCCATATTTGTATGTTATTGAATGAGGGAAGATGACCCCCCCACGATATCTGGGGAGGGGTTTTGGTCCCCAATGGCATTATCTTTTATGGTCAAAGAGGGCTCCAGAATCACAACTTAAAAGTGACTGGTTAAACATCTATTGATAACATCCAACCCTAATAAATAAATAAAAATTTGTACAGTTTTCTTGTAATAAACTGCAGGAGAATACCGACTCTTTATTTTTAAAGAATAAATTTTTTATACATTCTAACAAGTTTTTTTTTCTTTATTCTTCTTTTTCAACAATTATTTATTTTTTCCTTATTAGTAATGTGAGAGTCCTCACATTGATCGGCGATTCTACAGATAAATAGCATTACTTACGTATAAGTTAGATAAATTGTGTCACATTAGTATGAGGAAATTCTTGCTCTCATTCTTGTCGGACGGCTCCTGAAAAAGCATCATTCTTCCAAAGTTACGAGAGTATTTTGTCGAGTTTCTCAGTTAAGAGTAATTTATCGTTTCATTGGTTAGATTGGTAAATCTCTCTCCCAAAAGTACTTTGATCAAACCATATACACTTTTAAGAGAAGCAAAAAAGGCAAGCAAACGGCGATTAGTGTTGCACCAATGATGTCAAAGCTCTTTGACTGCATAAAAGAAGTGCAAAAAGCCACTCTTTCTCAAGCCTTTTTGGCCCGAGGGAAAATACTAAAACAAACACTGTATTGGTCGGGTCGGGTCCTCTCTTCCCTCTCATCTGCTACTTTACGCTCCCCTTGCGCACTCTCTGAACTTCACTACCATATAATTTGATTTCGTTAGTTTCGCCATAGTTTATTTTGTCTTGTTTCTTCTAATGTCAAAGGCTAGTATTTTTCTAGCGCTGGTGATATGCGCCACCATGTCAATGAACAAGTTAACGTACGCCGGTGTTGAGTCGGAAATTCAAGCGTTGCTGGCGTTTAAAAAGAATCTTGATGATCCACGTGGAGTGATGGACGGATGGAATGTATCCACTTCTAGAGCGCCGTGCGACTGGCGCGGCATTTTCTGTTACGCCGGCAGCGTGCGTGAGCTACGTCTGCCCAGGCTACAGCTGAGCGGCCGGCTGAGCGATCATCTTGCTAAGTTGAGCATGCTGCGAAGATTAAGCCTGCACTCCAACAACCTCAACGGCTCCATTCCACGCGCTCTCTCTGAATGCTCCCTGCTACGCGCCATCTATTTGCAGGATAATTCACTCTCTGGTGAACTCTCGCCGGCGTTTTTTACGAACCTTAACAACCTCCAGGTTCTAAACGTTGCCCATAACTTCCTCTCCGGCGAAATATCCGGCAACCTCCCGGCGAACCTCCGGATATTGGACCTCTCTTTCAACTCCTTTTCTGGTGACATTCCGGCGAACTTGTCGGCAACACATCAACTCCAACTCATTAACCTTTCGTTTAACCGTTTCTCTGGCGAGATTCCAGCGTCCATCGGAGCATTACAGCAGTTACAGTACCTGTGGATCGACTCGAACGAACTCTACAGTACAATTCCGTCGGCAATTTCAAACTGTTCTTCACTAATTCACGTCAGCGCTGGATATAACAGGCTCTCCGGCGTGGTTCCGTCGACAATGAGTTCACTCAGAAGTCTTCAAGTTATCTCATTGCCGCATAATCTGCTCTCCGGTGTGGTCCCCTTGTCGCTTCTCTGCAACGTTTCAGCATTAAATGCTCATACGATCAAGATTCTTGACTTGAGTTTTAATCGGTTCACGGGGATAGCCAAACCAGAAAGCAATGATGATGCAACGTGTTCGAGTGTGCTGGAAGAATTAAACCTTCACGAGAATCAGATAAATGGTGTGTTTCCAGATTTTTTAAACAATTTTTCTACATTAAGAGTTTTGGATATTTCTGGGAATTTAATTTCTGGTTATTTGCCTGATAATCTTGGGAATTTGCTGAATTTAGAGGAATTTATAGTGGCGAATAATTCAATAACTGGTGAAATTCCAGTAAGTGTGAAGAAATGCAAGTTTTTAAGAGTGTTTAATCTGGGAGGTAATTGGGTTTCTGGTTTGGTTCCAAATTTTTTAGGGGATATGGCGAACTTAAAAATGCTGTTTCTTGGTGGGAATTCATTTACTGGTTCGATTCCGGCGGGTTTAGGCCGGGCTTACGGGCTGGAATTGTTGGATATGAGTGATAACAAGTTGACCGGCAGTGTGCCAGTGGAATTGATGAGGCTTAGAAATTTGAGTGCATTGAATTTGAGTAATAATAGATTTTCAGATGAAGTTCTGATGAATATCGGGGAATTAATTGGTTTAGAGGTTCTGAATATGAGTGGTTGTGGGTTTTCAGGAGTGATTCCAGCGAGCATGGGGAATTTGTTGAGACTCACAACTCTTGATTTGAGTAAACAGAACTTGTCTGGAGAGTTGCCTATTGAGCTCTTCGGGTTGCCAAATTTACAAGTTGTGGCTTTGGAGGAGAATACACTATCTGGGGCAGTTCCTCAAGGTTTTAGCAGCTTGTCAAGTTTACTCTATCTGAATCTTTCATCAAATTATTTCTCCGGTGAGATACCGGTTACTTATGGATTTCTCAAATCATTAACTGTTCTTTCTTTGTCTCATAACCGTTTAACTGGTATAATTCCAGTGGAGTTGAGTAATTGTTCTGGTCTTGAAGTTCTAGAGCTAAGGGAAAATGACTTAGCAGGTGAAATTCCAGTTGGTTTTTCACATTTATCTCATTTACAGAGGCTTGATCTTGGTCAGAACAATTTAACGAGTGAAATTTCAGACAGTATTGCCAACTGTACATCCTTGGTATTTCTGTTGTTGGATTCGAACCATATCTCAGGCCACATTCCAGACTCATTGTCGAAGTTGTCAAACTTAACAACTCTAGACCTCTCTTGGAATAATCTAACTGGAGTTATTCCAGCAAATCTTTCGCTTATGTCCAGCTTGCAGGACTTAAATATATCCCACAATCATCTTGAGGGAGAGATTCCAGCAGCGTTGGGTTCACGGTTTGGCGATGCTTCAGTGTATGCTATGAATGCTAATTTATGCGGGAAGCCGCTGAACAAAGGTTGCAAGAATGAGCAGAGGCGAAAGAGGAAGAGATTGATTCTTTATATAGTTGTGGCTTTAGCAGGGAGTTTAATTTTGTTATTGTGTTGTTGTGGGTATATATACGGTCTTATAAGGTGGCGCAAGAAACTAAAAACGGGAGCAGATGGGGAGAAGAAGCGAAGCCCTAGTCCGGGTGCACAAGGGGCACGTGGAAGTGGAGAAAATGGTGTGCCAAAGCTTGTAATGTTCAATAACAAGATCACATATGCAGAGACTGTAGAAGCAACGAGGCAATTTGATGAGGAAAATGTGCTGAACAGAGGGAAGTATGGTTTGTTATTCAAAGCCACTTATGCTGATGGAATGGTGCTTGCTATTCGTCGTCTTCCCAACACATCTATTGAAGAAAACATCTTTCGGAAAGAAGCTGAATCTCTTGGCAAAGTTAAACATCGCAATTTGACAGTTCTTCGTGGTTATTATGCAGGACCACCACCTGATATGAGACTTCTTATCTATGACTACATGCCTAATGGAAACTTGGCCACCCTCCTTCAAGAGGCTTCACATCAAGAAGGGCATGTACTGAACTGGCCAATGCGCCATCTGATTGTGCTTGGCATAGCTCGTGGTCTAGCATTCCTCCATTCAACCTCGATAACACATGGGGACGTAAAGCCACAAAATGTGCTCTTTGATGCTGATTTTGAAGCCCATCTTTCGGATTTTGGGTTCGATAAACTAACCATAGCAATGCCTGCTGAAGCTTCAACATCTGCCACTCCAGTCGGAACACTTGGCTACGTGGCCCCGGAAGCCTTATTAACTGGACAACCCGCTAAAGAAGCTGATGTGTACAGTTTCGGGATTGTGGTGTTAGAGACATTAACTGGAAAGAAACCCGTGATGTTCACAGAAGACGAGGACATTGTCAAATGGGTTAAGAGACAACTACAAAGAGGCCAAGTTTCTGAATTGCTCGAGCCGGGCTTGGTCGAGCTCGACCCCGAGTCTTCTGAGTGGGAAGAATTCTTACTGGGAGTAAAAGTTGGATTGCTATGCACAATGCCGGACCCTCTTGAGAGACCTTCCATGAATGATATTGTTTTCATGCTTGAAGGCTGCCGATTAGGCCCTGATATTCCTTCATCAGCCGATCCCACAACACTTGCTTCACCGACTTGAAATCAAATTCGATTTTCTTTGTAAAAGACGTGATTCCTTTGTACTCGTGTATTCTTTGCATGTGTGTAATTGTCATTGTTAAACCTTTCCTATTAGTTCAAATTTTCATTTTATTCGTTTTGCTCGAAACCACGGTATCCAATGTGCATTCTTGGCAACGCGCGAATTATTGTAGTCAAACCTTTCGAGTCTATATGACACCAAAAAATTGGATATTTTTGAGATACAGAATGATAAAGTAGCCGTTGCAATGAGCAGGGCCAAGAGCTGAAAAGAAAATACGAGACAATGTTCATGGGAAAAGGGCAAATAGTCAGGCGTCAGCATCTGTGAATATGTCGTATTGGCTATGTAGAGCATACAAACAGAAACCTGTACATAAATGGCACAGTTGGCCATGGTCAGACACTCACATGGTTAACAGTTTCCTCCTACTGTCGTATAGCATCAGGCATTTATGCAGTTTGCACGAAACAATACAGGCTCTTACACTAGCAATAATGGAGCAAAATTAGACTGTTTCGTTCAGAGTAATGGCACTTTAAAGAGTGAGCGACTGATCAACATCAATTGAAACCAATGCTTTCAGTTTCACTACTTCAATGCTTTAAAAAGTAGAAAAACTGTAAATGCAATTTGGTGCCATATAATTTTTCAAGACATTTAGGTCCCCAAGTTTCAATTATAATCAATAATTACAGAAATTTCTCATTAAAAGACAATGAGAGACCAAGAACTGGACTTGTCCATGAATACATCTAACAAAACAGGTGTCAATACAAAATGATAAAGGGCCCTATATAGCGGATAATTCTAGTACATGAAGTACAACTGAATAAATACACATTGCAAAAGAATTCTGAATCGCTACGAGAAATGTTATTTATATGTTTTGTTATACATAAAATTTCAGCATATTTCTCTATTCGTCAGACAGATTCCAGTCCGTCTGGGAGTGAGATGTTGTCCTGGTCAGGTGAAGTAAACTTACGGCAAGCATATAATACAGCTGAATGAAAAGCAGCTGGGTTGTCTATGAATACAAAGTGACCACCCTGCAAGTAGAACAGGAAATTTAAGTTGTATTTCAATTTTTCATAGCAATTTTTAAGTGAAATAAAAACGAGTGAATACCTGAGGGACCCTTATTATCTCGCTCGGGACCTTCATTTGCTTTCGAGCTTCTTGCGCTCCTTCGTAACTCATCCAATCATGGAAACCATATATGAATGTTGTTGGCACCTTCCACTCCGATGCACTGCATGCACAGTATACGGTAGTTACAAACCTGGAGTGATTAACTACTACTCGTGTATTGTCACTTTGAAAATAAGATATCGAGATCATGTCACTGAAGTATCTTAGTCGACTTCCAACAGAAAATAATATCAATGTGGAAGAGAATCTACAAAACTATAAGGCCTCTATAAGAACTGTGTGAGGAAGAAAGAATATCCCGAACATATAAGCGTGTATAGCATCCTAGCAAGTAAATACTATTAAGAAAGTTGCATGATAAACTGTCTCAACCATTTTATGTTATCCATGCCAACATGTATATGATCATCACCACAATACGTGTTTTTGGGAAACATGTCCCTACTAAAAGAATACGGTTATGTTTGGTCTGGATTAAAATTTGATTTTAATCAAAGTCAAAATCAAACAATCAATATTAACCACATCTTTCATGGGGTCCTATAACTTTTCAACCACACATTTCAAAAACTTGTATCACAGTCTACTAAAAATCTAATTTTAATCCCTACCAAACACCATCACAATGTGGAAATATCGGAGCGCCCATCACTTAGAAGAATTACTAGGGCATTCCGGTCCATTAGTTAAACAAACAATATCGAAGCAACTCACCGATGTAAAAGAGGCATCCGTGCAAAGGCTCCAAAGGAGAATATATATTTTAAGCACAGTTCTCCACTAGCTTTAGCCGCCAGAGTATGATACACATAATCTACCATTATGTACGAAATGAATCAAGATTAGAAAGAAATCAATGTGTTGGAAACAAACAAGTTAACAATATGGTACCTGTAAGTAATCTTGATTCCTCCTCAGTTAATAAGTTTCCCTCTGAATATGAACCAAATCTTGCACTAGTATATCTGCGAACCAGATCTGGACCAAAAGGACCTAGACCTCTGCATTTTTGAAAAAGATGGGTAAATTTTCATTAATTAGTAGCCATCAGCCGCATAAATTTTCTTTTAGCAAAGTAAAAACAACAGCGAGCAATGCATGATAAGTGCCCTGGCCAGTGCATGAAATGGGGTTATTTGACAGGCCTATAGTGTAGGAATACTGAAGCAGTTGTTTTAGACAATGCTAAGAAAAAGAACAAGGAAATTATGAGCCTGGTGAAGACAGGGAAGAGGCACGTTAAATTGATAACGCATAAATTTGATGGAAATAAAGATAAATAGATGATAATTAAGTAAAATAAAATCGATCATAGATGCACGCATGCACCATAGACAAGTATTCAGAAGACTACAAATCCCACCTTACAATTTTTTTCCAGGTTTTTATGCTTGTAATAAGATATTTAAAGAACTGAAACGTTACTCCAACAATTTGCACACACCACAGTACACATTCCCAGCATGGACAGATTTCTTGCGCGTCATTCTTCGAAAAGAAACATTAAGTTAACATATTACGAATACATTGTTGGAAATTTTAGTGCTCGGCATTTGGCACAATAAGAATCAGAAAATCAAAATATCCTCCAAATATATCCTACAAATACACACCATAGACTCTCAGAAATGGAGAGACCTGTAAGGTCTAAATTTTACTGCCATTATCATACCTCAGAGCCAAATCCATTTTTCTTAATCTAAAGTAGTGCGGACAAAAACAGGGCTTAGTGATTTTTTTTTTTATTTTTTTTTATTTTATTAAAAAGGGCTTCAGAATCAGAGAACAAAAGGTCATACCACTGCTATAATGTACATGGACTTGCAAAAGCTAATATGCAGACTCTAGCGTATAAACCAGAATGGTTGAAAAGGAAAATATAAATGAATGTAAAAGTTTAGAACGACATGTTTATGCGATGAAGAGAAAACTATAAATAAGCGAGAAAAGAAAGCAAGGACTACTTACCTAATAATCTTTTGCGGAGTAAAATTGGATTCCCATAAATGATTAGCAATGGCTCCTTTCCATGTTGATCTAAACTGGGCAAGCCGCTCAGACATGTGCTCTGTTTCTGAACTAAATCCAGCAGATCCCACTAAAATCAAGTGTTGGATGTGCTCAGGATACTGTAGAAGCAATACAATTGATATCAGTTGGATGTGCTCATATCAAGTCGCAGAATTTGTTGCTTAACCCCCAAAAAAAAAAAAATTACCTTCAGAGCATATTTAGCAGCAACGTATCCTCCAAAAGAATGCCCCAGTAAAATGAAGTTGCTAAGATTTTTTGCTTTGCGCCATTCCTCAAATGAATCGATGAACCACACCTCGGTTTCTACATTACAAGTTAAAAATAATTAAAGCATATTTAATCCTCCGATGGACATACTGTTGAACTCCAAGAACTCAGTCACACTAAACTGATTTGCTGAAGAAATCACTCACTTTATTCAAAGCAAACTGTTGGCTTTATGGCCTTACAATACGAAGAAATCAAAGCAGTAACAGGAACCACGTTTTACACGGCCTACAACGTGGTGACTAGTTGGAAGAAGAAATCTAAACTAAAGTCCCTAAAGAATAGGGCTTTATTAACAAATCTGTTGGACGAAAACTTAGGAAACAAAGAATTAGAAGACTAACAAACTGATGCCAACATTCCCTCCCTTAAACTAGATGCAACAGCATTTAGTTTACCTTTGAAGCTTCAATCATTCCCAGCATGCTACGAAGTCTCAAGAACTGCTCCAATTTGAGAGGTTTCGTCATTATGTCTGCAACTTGAATCTGTGAATTACAGTAGCTCAACTCAACAACTCCATCTTTTGCCAAGTCTCTCAGAAAATGGAACCTTATGTCAATATGTTTGCTCCTGCCATGGAAGACCGGATTCTTGGACAATTGTATGGTAGAGCTGTTGTCACATTGAATCACAGTGCTCTTCTCCTCCTTAAGACCAAGCTTTTTTAACACTCTTCTAAGCCAAACACACTGACAAGCACAAAGTGCAGCTGCTATATACTCGGCCTCGGTGGTAGACAATGTCACTACAGGCTGTTTTTTAGAGGACCATGAAACTGCTCCAGTACTAAGCAAGAACACAAAACCAGAGGTGCTTTTCCGGTCATCCAAGTCGCCGGCGAAATCACTATCAGTGTATGCCACAAGATCTGTTCTTCCACCTTTCTTGTAGAAAATGCCTAGCTCTATTGTCCCTCTTACATACCTCAATATCCTCTTTGCTGCAAGCCAATGAGACATTGTTGGACAAGACATGAATCTACTAATCAAGCATACTCCATACATCAGATCGGGCCGAGTTGCAGTCAAATACATGAGGCTGCCAACTACCTGTTTGAACATGGTTGGATCAACTCTGACCCCTGCCTCATCTTTTGACAATTTTGTGCCTGGAACAATGGGATTTTTCACTGCATTACTGTTCTCCATGCCAAACCTTGCTAGAACTTCACGAGCATATCTTCTTTGACATATAAAAATTCCACTTGAGCTCTGTACAACCTCAACTCCGAGGAAGTACCTCATTCTCCCCAAATCAGACATATCAAATTCCAGCATCATTGAACTTTTAAACTCATAACACATGTTCCTGTCATTTCCAGTATATATTAAGTCATCAACATAAAGGCTTACTATTAAAATTTTACCTCCTTCCTTTGACTTTGTAAACAGTGTGTGTTCACAAGAGCACCTCTCGAAGCCTTCTCGGATAAAGTAAGCCTCTATCTTGCTGTACCATGCTCTTGGTGCTTGCTTAAGACCATACAATGCCTTTCTCAACTTGTAAACTCTGCCCTCTTCACCTTTCTTTACAAAGCCAACAGGCTGTTGTACAAACACCTCCTCATTGAGCTCACCGTGAAGAAATGCGCTCTTTACATCTAACTGAAAAACATCCCAGCTATACTGAGCTGCCATAGCAAGTATCAAGCGAATGGTATCAAGTCTTGCCACTGGAGCAAACACTTCGGTGTAATCAACTCCGTATTGTTGTGCATACCCTTTCGCCACTAGCCTTGCTTTGAACTTGTCTATCTCTCCATTCTCGTTAAGTTTAGTCTTGAAAACCCACTTGACTCCAATTGCTTTTATTCCACTGGGCAAATCAGTCAACTCCCATGTTTTGTTCCTTTCTATAGATTCAATTTCTGCCATCATCGCATCCCTCCATTTCTTGCTTTTGACAGCTTCCTCAAATGTAAGTGGATCATTCTCGGTCACCATCATCATTGCATTCAAACCATCTTCATCTGACAAACCTTCTCCGGTTTCATAATTTGCCATCCAAACTGGTTCTCTTATATCTCTTCTAACCCTCCCTTCAGGTAAAGCCTCTTGAACATTATCATTTGGCTCATTTGGAGGTGAACCAGCTTCGCCTGAGTTGTTGCTTGAATTGTTTGGGTCTGCACCATTGTCTTCTTCATTTTGCTCGGCCTCCTCCTCGGTGTCACTCTCATTTTCATCATCTCCCCATTCTAAAATATCCAGCTTGCATTCTTCTTCAGTCTTGCCCCAATTCCAGCTTTCTCCTTCTTCAAACACCACGTCTTTGCTAACAATGACTTTCTTGGAGACCGGATCAAACAGTCTATAGGCCTTCGATTCATCGCTTACTCCCAACAAAACACACTTCATACTCTTGTCATCCAGTTTGCTTCTTTTCTGATCTGGTATGTGGACATGGGCTACGCATCCGAAGACTCGAAAATACTCCACAGTTGGTTTCACACCACTCCATGCTTCCTCTGATGTTTTGTTTTGCACGGCTGTTGTAGGACACCTATTAAGGACGTGTACACTCCATCTCACAGCTTCAGGCCAGAACACTTTGGGAACTTGCTTCTCAACCAACATAGATCGTACCATGTTCATTATCGTCCTGTTCTTCCTCTCAGCAACTCCGTTTTGCTGAGGAGTGTAAGCTGCAGTCAATTGTCTACTTATGCCTTGAGCCTTGCAAAACTCTCCAAACTCATTTGAGGTGAACTCACCACCTCTATCTGTTCTCAAACATGTTATATATGCACCAATTTCCTTTTCAACACAGACTTTAAAACTTTTAAACATAGCAAGTGCCTCTGACTTTTCATGTAAGAAGTAAATCCAAGTTTTACGAGTAAAATCATCGATAAAACTTAAGATATACCTCTTGTCACTGTTTGAAGGTGGTTTGATAGGCCCACATATGTCTGCATGCACGAGTTGAAGCTTGTTTGATGCTCTCCACAAACTCCTTTTTGGCATAGAATCTCTGTGTTGCTTACCAGTTAAGCAATCTGTGCATAATTTCTTCGGAGTCTTGAGGAAAGGCAATCCATCGACCATCTTCTTATATGAGAGCGTTCTCAGTCCCTTGTAGTTCAAATGCCCAAATCGACAGTGCCAAAGGTGAGACTCATTTTCTGACTCAGCTTGAAAACATGCAGAAACTTTCGGTGTCATAGAAGCTAACAAATAAAACATTCTATTCCCACTCATATCAGTGTGCATAATTAATCCTCTCCTAGGATGATATACTTTGCAGGTTCCATGTTGAATCAAAATGGCTAACCCTTTTTCTTGAAGCTGTCCTATGCTCAACAAGTTGTTCTTAAGCTCAGGAATATAATAAACATTTGATATTACCTGAGTGAAGCCATTTATTTGCAGCCGAATACTTCCTTTTGCCATAACAGCCATTCTGGTGCCATTGCCGAGTTTTACTGTCTGCCGGAAGCCCTCATTTAGCTCCTAGAACCATTCTCTGTTCCCTGTCATGTGATTGCTGCAACCCGAGTCGAAAAACCAAACTTCTTCCCTCTTAGTTTGTTGTAGTTCGACATAGGACATTAGTAAGAGCTCTTCTTCTTCATCCAACTCAGCATAATTAGCCTTTTTCTCCCAGTCAGGACACTCATACTGATAGTGTCCCAACTTGTGACACTTGAAGCATTCGATAACAGAATTATTCAAGGGTTGTCTTCCCCTTCCTCTGCTTCGACCTCCTCTAAACATTCCTCTTCCTCTTCCTCTTCCTGCCTTGTCTTCATAGGTGATCTTTAACACCTGCTCTTCCTCTTGGTACCCTTGCATCCGTTGTTCATGCACTAATAGACTCCCATGAAGCTCATCAATGCTCATGGTGGTAAGATCATTCGACTCTTCTATCGAACACACAACATAATTAAATTTGGATGTCATGGACCTCAGTATTTTTTCAACCACCACATTCTGCTCCATTCGCTCTCCATGTACCTTCATTTTGTTCACTACGATTAGGGTTCTTGAGACATAGCTGTCCACCTTCTCACCCTCCTTCATGCCTAGCAGCTCGAACTCCCTTCTTAAAGCCTGCAGTTGTGCCCTTCTCACCTTTGTTGAGCCCTGATACTTCTGTTTCATTGAATCCTAAATGGCTTTGGATGTTCCTTTGTCAAGAATAGTCTCCATGATCTCTCTGTCGATTGCTTGGAACAGAAAATTCTTGACCTTCAAATCTTTGAGCTTTGCTTCATCCATTGCCTTTCGCTGCGTCTCAGTTGCTGCCGCCCTTCGAGCCAGTGCTGGAATTCCCTCTTCTACCAGACTCCAACACTCCTTACTTCTTAAGAAGTTTTCCATTAACATAGACCAATGGTCATAATGACCATCAAATCTAGGAATAGATGCCTGCACAAACTTCTCTGTTGATGAGGTCGACATCTTAAAAAATTTTCACACACAATCACTTTGTGTTTCTGTTTCTCTCCCTCTCAATCTCTGTGTTTCACTCGGAAACCTCTCTCACACTCCTTATCAGGCCCTATTCGGTGGCTTTGATACCAATTGTTGAACTCCAAGAACACAGTCACACTAAACTAATTTGCTGAAGAAATCACACACTTTATTCAAAGCAAACTGTTGGCTTTATAGCCTTACAATACGAAGAAATCAAAGCAGTAACACGAACCACGTTTTACACGGCCTACAACGTGGTGACTAGTTGGAAGAAGAAATCTAAACTGAAGTCCCTAAAGAATAGGGCTTTATTAACAAATCTGTTGGATGAAAACTTAGGAAACAAAGAATTAGAAGACTAACAAACTGATGCCAACAGTTTCTGGTTAGTTCAATAATTAGAAATGAGACATTTTATTCTATATCATAAAATAAGGGGAATGCAATAAGATTGATTCAGCTTAGCCATGACTATTTCAATAACGCTATTGGTAAGTCCCATTTCACCATACACATCTTCTGCATTTCCAATTCAACACTAATAATTCATTATACCACGGTGGAGAGAAATTTCAGAATAGAATTAAACGTTGTAATCTGCATTTTGTAAATCCTAAAAGTAAAATCTACCTTGATTTTTCAAAAAGAAATCTCAATGATTGTAACTCAGAAAACTTGTGAAGCATATACTAATGAAAAGCAGATGTTCGACCCATCTCTGTCTGCACGCATGAATCAAGCAAGTTTTG